AATAGTTATAAAAAATAAGAGTATTACTGCTGTTTGGTACTTGGTACCTCAAGCTTGGTCCTTCAAACCACACACGAACCGCAACCGCACAATCTGCCCTCGTCTGCGCTCCCTTGTCATTTTATGGTCACCGTGACTTCGCACAATCCTGCTATTCACAGATGATATAAAGATGGTTCACTCAATCCCAACCTCCTTTCCCTTGGAACGCTTGCAATGGCCCACCATGTGGTGTTTCTCACAGCTCAATGGTTCGATGGTGTGAATGCAGCGCGCGCTACGCCTTCTAGCGCGGGTGGAGCTGTTCGCCCTTGGAGGGGCATTTTGCACTTCCGCTAGTTCTTTTCGCTAGTTCATGTTAACTAATACGTCTTTTTTTTATTAAGGCCTTTAAACTCTTGTGGAGCTGCGAAATGGTACAAGTGAGCCACGTTGGCCATAAACTCGGGGGAAGATGGGCAGTACAGGCTTCGCTGAGTACCTTTGGTGTGTCCCACCAAGCCGAACTGTGACGCGCCGCTTTTTGCGCTATCGTATCTTGGATCATATAGACCATTCCCGTCAGATTCTCACAGAAGAACTGATTCCCTTCTTCAAACGATGGAAAAAATCTTGCTGAGGTGCTCAGTGTCCTAATGGTGACAGATCACAATAATTGCGCTAATCAGTTCTTGAAGGTAGCAAAAAAAAGAAAAGAAAGTGACTTTTAGAAATGTCTTAGTACCAAACTGTTTCAGACAAGATTGATTCCCGATTGAAATCTGGAGTGGTTCGCCTGACTGGAACCCATTCGTTCTGCACTTAGATTTCTCGATAGCTAAATCTCATCCTTTGTGAAGAACCATCGGTAGCTGCTCAAAGAGTTTTCACAGAAAAGAATTAGCGGAAAACTTAAGGACACCTTCCGCGAACCCAGATCGACTGTAGCGGGATTTTCGTGGGCGCTAAGTAGCCTGAAGGCAGCCCGTTACAGCCATTTGTGGCGGACGGGGTTCAAATAGGACTTCCACTGTCACTTACTAAGTAACTCAGCCCTGGGGAAAAAGTAGAAAAACGTCAAGCGCCCTATATATCGGCAGGAACTGCCGAAACCGCCCTAGATAAGATCCCTTTGATAATGAGCAATGTGCGAGTGTGATGCGCGGGGTCAGCTCGAAGCAGATGCTGATTTTTTTTCGAGTACTGGAAGCACATACTCAATAAGAGCTGGGCTCGCAACTCATGATACACCAGAGAGGCATCCAATCAATCATAGCGGCTTTGAAGGGCAGCTGAGTGCATGGCGCATCCCAGAAACACCAATCCACCCGTTTTGTTTCCCCTTTAGACGCTCCGCTTTGTGGGGTCATTTAAAACATTTCGCAGTCCTTAGGAGCATATAGGTGCTGACCTAATA